TTTTAATTCATGCTTTAAGGGTGTTACAATAATGTGATGTTGACTTCAAGTTAAAAATATTTTTAAGTTTAAAAAAAGTTTTCAAACTTCTTGTTAAATATTAATTATTGGTTCTACCTATATTTTAATTACCTTGTCGAGCCTTAGTTTGTTTGTTTTAAGCGATCTCCCATTCGAACTTAATAGACACAAAAAAATCGAAATATAGAGAAAATTCGAAAATCATCTTTATTTAATTTTCACAAATGAACTGATGTTGGCGTTATTAAGTTAAATTGGCATTAGTTTAGAATTTTTGCTGATTTTTCATACCATTCTACAATTAACATTTTTCAAAGTCAATTTTTAAATTTTATGTCTATTGCTATTTATATATTTAAATTTTATACATTTTTGTCCATTTTTAAATTTTTGGACAATAATTTTGTTCTTGCTTGATATAATGTTAAAAGAACTAATTAGTATCACCTAAATTGTTTTTCATTTGTTTAAATAATAATATAAATCAATTTTGTTCTTGCTCAAAATTACTAACCGAATAATTTTACTGCTTTACATTTTTGGGAAAAAATACATATGCTTTCTGAAAAAATTTAATCAGTGATTCTTCTAATCTAATCTTAAAAACCTAGGCCTTTATTTTACTCCTTACTTCTCCCAAAAATATACTACTCTCAAATTACGTTTTTTAAGAAAAAAAAACTATCTTGAAGACAAAAAACAAAAACTTTGCCTAAATTCCGAGAAGAGGGGGAAATTGGCTTTTTTATATAGTAATATAAGTTCCCAATTATTTATTTTTCTTATTTTGACGTTTTAACAAACTCTTTTATAATGATGGCAATTCTTATTTATTTAAATACTCCTTGAAAAAAAATTTTTTCATAATCCATACTTCCACTCGTTATAGTAAGAGAAGAAATTACGTTAAGTAGAAAAAAAGTATAGTGACGCATTAAAAGTGATTTGTTATGTATGCAGGAAAAACGGGAGGTGGGACGTGACTTCTTAATATAGTAATTTCAGTCCCTATTTATTTATTCCTCATTTTACTATGACGTTTTAATTTTTTTTAAAGATGACACTTCCTACTTATTTAATTATTATTTTTTCATAATTCATACTTCCAATAGTAAAAGAAGAAATGACATCAAATAGAAAATATAGAGACAAAGACAAACGTCAATGGCAAAGCGTAATATGCTCTAATGCAGGAAAAAAAAATTGTTGACGAAAATGCGCGTATTCTTAACAAACTGTTACAAACTATCTCTTTTTCTCAAATAAAACATCATAATGATATGCTATACCAAACATTTTCGTAACAGGTTAAAAATAATGTGAACACTAGAATGCCTTTTTAAACTTTTTTTCTAAGCGAAATGCACTACCAGTCAAAAATAACAAATTCAAATGAGCCTGGTTTTTTTTTTCCAAATCGAATAGTATTTTCTGTGAGTAAAACAATTTAAGCATTTGTATTGAAAAATTTCGAAATTTTGAGACAATACTTCTCACAGAGCACATTATTTGATTTGAAACAATTTTATTTTTAATGTTCACGTAAATTGCCCTTTTTTGTCAGGTTTTGGGCAGGAATTGACCACTTTTTGGCAGTAAAAAAACGTGACACCCTAGTGAACACCGACATGTAGCACATATTTAGGATTTCATTTTAATCAGAAAAAAAGGATATACATAGTGATACATTTTGTTACGATAAGAATTGGTATAGTAATATATACATGCATTTAAAATGTTTCATCGGGGCGAAATAAAAATTTAAATTGGGGCATAAAAAGAGCTGTATCTAAACCAGTTGAATACCTTCATAAAACATCAAGCAATTTCACTCAAGTACGTAAAATACGAAGATTAAATCAAAAAAATTTTATTGAATTAAAACGTAACTAGAAATAATTAAAAATACATTAATAACAGCAAAAATGACTGCAAATAAAAGTTTCGTAAAAATTTTCATAATTTACCATTACATTTTCAATATACTTCATATAATCCACGAAATATTATCAGCGAGAAATAATTGAAACTACTTTTATCTTTTAAAAAAAACTTGATAAATGCTGTTGTTTATTAAACGTGATCCGTGTACAAAAAACAAGAAGTTCTAAATCGAAACCTCATGCCATTTAATAATAGAGCCATCAACTAATATAAGTTATTAGCTTATTAATTTTGCCATTCCCCAAAGCGGCGGCTTATTTTTGTTATTTTCTTTTTTTTTTTATCTAAACAGCAAACAATGACCGAATTCCAAGCCTTAAAATTCTCTAATAGGATGAAATGCGGTAGGCGAATTAATTTCTATTAGATGAAGAGCAAAATTGTTTTCAGACATTGATGGATCTCAATGAAAGATGATGTAGTAAAAATAAATGAGGCTAGTTAAAACTGATATTTATTTTTTGAAAAAAATATTTTCTAAGCAAAGAAATTCAGAAAATACGGACAATTAACATTTTTGAGTAATTTATAAATTAATCAATGAACCTTTACTAGAAAATTTAATATTTTTTTTAAAATTTCTTCTTATAAAAAATCAAATTTAGACAAAGTTTTAATAATATATCTAGTCTATAATTATTAAAGTAAGCATATATATATATATATATATATAGCACAATAAATAGATACAAATAACAAAAAAGAGAAAAATGCAGAAAATTACGTAAATCAAAAAGTTTTACGTTTTATTTACTGCGCATAAATAAGCTGCAAGTACATAGAACTCATTAAATTGTTATTTTTTTTAAAAATAATTTTCTCGTTCTCTTTCTTCATTATTCTGTAATTTTTTCCACGTTTTTTCTACATTTTAACAAGTCTATAATCAATAAAAATAGTCAATAACAGTTTGAAAATTATTTTAGGACCCCAAAAAGTAGAGAAAATTGTTATCAAATCATTATCGAGAAATTAAATAATACGAATATCTTACCTAGAGCATATTAAATTACAAACATCTTAAAAATTTAATAATTTTTACGTAGATTTTTTTTTAGAAAAAAAATAATTTAGAGTTAGGAAAACAAGAGCTATCTCCTATAATCTTACATTTAAATAAAGGAGAGATTAGTAGCGAAAACCCTTTTTAGCAAATAAAGTATAGAAAGTGTCAATAATAAAGAAGTAAACAGTCAATAAATACAATGGCCCAAAATAAAACGGACCATCCTGGATAACTTTTGACCTAATGATCAAATCTTCTCGTTTTGGGACTAATTCTTAATGGTTTGATGGGGTGACTTTAAATATGTTAATTATTTAGTGCAGACGATAGTTTAGGTAACGAAATCACAGACAAATACGTACTTTCTCTGAATAAACATACCTTTTTTTTCCGACGGATTCGGATTTCCGAAATATTGGTATAGCCACAAACTGGAATATATGGTCCCATTGTTTGGTCAGGAGAGCTGTCCAAAGTTTTGACCAATTGATGTTAATTTTATTTCTGTGTATTTCACTGTATCTCGAGAACTTTTTAAGTAAATTGAAAAAGTTTTGAACACAATTATAAAATTCGTTTTCCAAAGATAATTTCACGAAAAAAAAATAATAAATTTCAATAAACGTTATTTTTTATTCTAACTTCNATTTCATGCGCCCCACGTTTTTCGTTTTTCAATTTTTTTCTTAATTATTATTCTCCACTACTAAAACGTGGTTTTTAAAAATATTACTTTTTATTACCACGTTTATATAAACTTGCCTTCGTGTATGTCTGTCCGGGTGGAATTTTGTAATCGATTTTATTCAATAATGATCAAAAAAATTTGGAGGTATAAATTTTTCCCCATGATTTTAAAGTATCTAATATTACATGGCAAAATACAAAAATTTGAGCAAATTTGGTTGAAGAGTTGCTGAGAAATCGAGTTTTAAACATACCACTTTTTTAAAATTCATTTCTCAGAAACTATTCTACCATTTTCGCTCAAATTTTGTAATTTGCCATGTAAAATTCGATACTTTAAAATGCTGCAAAAATTTTATACGTTACAATACAAAATTTTTAGACTATTATTAAATTAAATAATAAATATTTACTAAAATTTATTTTTAGCATGCAATTATTTTTGGATGCATGAATTTTATGATTGAGTGCAAAAAGTTTTCATTTCATTTAAAAAAGTTATAGATATATGGGGAACCACAAAAAAAGTAAAACTAACATTAGGGGGGCCAAAACTTTGGGTCACTCTCTTGACCAAACTTTAGCATATTATAATAATTAGCATATTTGCACTAAACATTAGCACCCCCTCCTCGAACCATTAGTCCTGAAACGTGAAGATCTGATCATTAGATCAAAAGTTATTCAAAGTGGCCCGTGCTTTTTGGTGAACTGTACAGCTGTAAAAAGACAATACAATACTCGAGTTAACAATAAAAATTCGAGGTGAGCTATTTCATAAAACTGTACTTTGAATTTAAGTAATTGGTATCTATTTTATGCACAGAATTTTTTTTACCCATGAATTTTCATACATGAAGCGAAGAAGTCAGGAATTAAAGTCATAAACAAAAAAAAAATCAGTTGGTTTCTTATATAGAATAACTAGATTACAGTGTTCATAATTCATTTTTCCGAATTAAATATGTTTTCTTTTTCGCATTACTGAATATCAGTTTTAACAAATATTTAAAGAAAATTAATAATATTTACGATATCAATGAAAGTTTACAGTGCCGATTAACCCTCTTTAGAAAGAAAGGGCACTACTTTGGAAATTCAATAAATCTTGGTATATTACTAGTATTAAAATAACAAAGCGTATCAGAATTCTGAGAACAATGTATTTGAAATTTTAAACACACTTTATATACCCATTCATATACTTTCTTCCAAATTTCTTTATTCTATGTTCAATCGTTTTCAAGTTTGAAAACTGAAACTTTTGAGGCAGTCTACATTTATTGACAAAGCTCACAATAAATCAATAAGGTCAAAAATAAATTAATGTTTAAAAACTTACCATTGGAAGATGTTGATATTTTTCTCTGAAAGAAAAAATGTCCACAAAATTTAATCCCGAAGAAACACAACACAAGTTTCAGACACATTGTGACTTCAAAAATTGATATTTTAAGAGACGCTAAATATGGGCGTCAAATCTTTTCCGGTTAATCCCTTCGCTTATAAGAACTTTAACCAAACTATTTTTTTCTTCTAGTTAAGGCTCTTGACGACTTAAAAACATGCATTTTGTATATCGAAACTAAAGCCTCAATTGCTCACCTCTCATCTCATATTATGTTCACTATAGAATTAAATGGCGGCATGGTTTATTGGATCTACATACATTTGCAGGTTTGTGTGCTCAATTTAGGCTTATAAACTTTTGTCAAATAAAAAGACAGATAGCAGAATACAGAAAGACTGCACGCAGACATCCTGGGTAACAACGCGATTCGAAGCCGCTACCTCCAACCTTAGCATTCGGTAGGTAATACCGCTTGGTCAGGGAGGTCCCGGTGGCATGGCTTATAGGTATATTGGATCTAAATACATTTGCAGGCTTATAAACCTTTGTCAAAAAGAAAGACAGATAGCACAATACAGAGAAGGACAGCACGAAGATACATACAATGGGTAACAATGGGATTCGAACCCGATACCTCCACGCTTTGCACAGCGTTTGGCAAACGATACCGCTCAGCCAGGGAGACCACCTCGGGGGCATGCCATTGGATCATTCTCAGGGATGATTCCCAGACCGTCGCCAATAACCCATTGTGCAAATTTATTGTGACGTAGTTAAAATACCTACCAACCTTAGAAGTAAATAGCTTGTTTTTCATGGTTAGATTGTTGTTGTTGTTGTTAATTTACGTCGCACTAGAGCTGCACAATGGGCTATATAAAAAACACTTGGTTTCAGTG